TGCTGGTATTTTCCTCCCGGCTGTGATTTCTGAAGAGCACAATAAGAAATTAGTTCCTGCGCGGGTTTTTTTTTCCCCTGACTATGAAATACTTGCCTATAACAATAAAACCTAGAATTACAATAGCCAGGAAAGACATTTGGAGAGCTATTACCCGGCACATCTCCGAGCCACCAGATGGGAACAAAATAAGAAACTCCTCCTCTGGAAAGCTCTCCAGGTTATACAATCCTTTCTTCTTGTTATTTCGCCTTCTGTCAGAGGAACAACACTTGACCCAGAGGATCAGGATGGCTGTTCTAGGTAGTGATTCCTGTATGCCTTCAAAACAAATATTTAGCAGTTTAGGAGACCCTGGATCTAATGCTTGGGTTATTATTTTCCCAATAAATAGCACTGCCTTGAGCACAACCATGTATCTCAGCTCCAAGTGCAATCCAAAGTGCTTGGGCCAAATTCTCAGCTGGGGTTTGCATGAGTAACCCAAACCAGCAGCTCTGTAAATAGGAAACCCTTTTTTTCCTGATATAAATCCCTACCTCAGCCCACAGGTGAGACCTCCCTGGGGTGAGGAGCCCCAGGTGGCACCCGCTGGTGCACTCGGCTCAGCCATCGGTGGGTATTTGTCACAGTGATCCCGCAGGATGGGACATTTTACCAGCGTTAAGATATCCTGGGTCAGTGGAGACCACTGAGCTGGGATTTCAAGCGGGTCACTTCTGCTCTGTTATTCAGTATGTCACTAGAAAGATGTCACCACTCTGCTTTGAAGCAAAGGGCACGGCTGAGATCCTGGTCCCACCAGCGCCAACTTCGCTGCAAACCTGAATGAACTGAGCAACGTCACTGGCTTCAGCGTGCTGTGTGGCTCCTGCCTGCAGGAAGATCGAAAGCCATTAATAATTTGGGGAACTTTCTGATTTAGAGGAACAGTGATTTCAGGAGCCACCACCTCCCAGCACAAAGCATCTGCCCACCTCTGGCCTTCAGTAAAAACGCAGAGGAGCTCAGTCCCTCGCCTTTCTGACACCGAGCTGATGGGGGGGGAGGTTTATGTCCCTAAAGCTGGCACAAATTTTTTCTAATGTTGAAAGGACCATAACACTTCATCCCAATGTCCCTGGAAATCCAGCTGAGATGCCCAATGGTCACACACACTTTTCCAACCCAATGCAAGACACCTTCTCATCTGCAAAGGTGAGCTGTGGAGATTTCAAACTGCCTGATCTCCCACTGCACAGTGCAGCACCTGAATCCATATCTGTGAGCCCTGCCCAGGTGCCCAGATTGCTTCGGGATCAAGCAGAGAGGCTCTTCTATCAGGAGTCCATGAGTTACACTTTTGACTTGGAAATTACAGCAGTTTAACTCCATTTGAAGGCTCAGAGGGAACTTTCTGAAAATTAATCTCTCTGCCCCAGGCAGCACAAGGGTCCTGCTAAGGGCACTGACAGAGAAGAGCTCGCTGCCGACTTCAATCTGCTGGAAAGCACATTGGATCGTACCAGGCTCTAACCCAGACCTTTCCTCTTAGAAAAAGTCTCAAGTGTGTAGAACGCATACAAGCAGGGCAGATTTTCTGCCATCCATCTTGTGCAATCCTTCAGGAGAGCTGGGGGTGCCACCGGGACACTCCGAGATGGCGCTTTACGAACCACGGGCACAGACAGGGCCAAGGCTGGCGGCTGCACTTACCTGGGCTCATGCCAACAGCCTGCAGCGTCCTCAGCTGCTGCTGCCGGCAGAGCTGCGATGGCACCCTTACACCCGCATCACCAGGTGCACCCACAGACACACCTCCCTCCTGCATGGGCATTTACCTATCCACACCTCGCTGTCCGTACTGGGACGCCGCATCACCCGCCAGCCTGGTTTTTAGGACAATACGGATGTAAGAAAGTGGGTCTAAGGACTGGCCAAAGCTCCAGGTGACATTTAGAAACACGCAGCCTGGGTACAGGAACACATCTGCAGGTGATGGTTTTTTTACCATGTAACGTCTCTTTTCAGCTTCTTGAATGTGAGTGCGTTATCTTGGTGAGCGGCAGCCGGCAGGGCTGGATGAAACGGGAGGTTAATCTGCGTTGGCCATCTCTCTTGATTTCTCCTTCATTTCCATTTCTTTATAAAATGGAATTTCCATTAATACAGCGGCACTTTTCTATTAAATAAGTAACAGAGAAGAATGACTGCCTCTGTATCTCATCAGCAGCGAATCTTTTTAAAATCACTCAAGAGGCAAGGCTCAAATCATATATTTAATAAGAACCACTTCGATATCACTTTTTAAAGCAATTAACATATTATTAGAGATAAGCGCAAGATGCAACATTTAGATCCAGATTTCTAAGACAGATTTCTATGGCTGAGGAGGGTGCGGACCTCGGGTCGTCACCTCGGCAATCATCTCTGCATGTCACAAACCAATGTCAGAACAGAACTTCAGTTACACGGACACAGAAGATTAAATTCTCACTTTTAATCCTGATTTTACTCATGCTGCTTCTTTTCAGTCATTTTTAAAGCACTCTATGTACACCAGTGAGAACTGTCAAAGCACCCCAATGGGGTTTCTGCCCCACTGGAGGGTCCTGGAGCAAAGCGTTCATTTCCACCATCCCCTTCCTTTTGGATATTCAGGCATTTGCTTTCTTTATGGAGCATGATGGACACACATATCCAAACCTTGATTTTTGAAAGGATCCAAGAGCCCATCACCAACAGGATCCCCATCGCCAGGTCACCTTGTGCCACCTGCGGGCAAGCTCACAAGCGCATGGACATCACCTCCAACGGGCAGCTGGAGATGCTCAGTGGTGGACTCTGCTTCTGCCAGGGAACATCCACAGATATCCCAGAGTCACTTCATCCGACAGTCTTGTGCGCTGAACAGAGCCAGTCCCTCCTGCTTGGTGGCTGAAGCATGTCCTGCGAATTACGGTAGCCGAGGTGCAGCCACACATTCATTTCTGCTGCCGGTGACGGGGACAGCTGAAGCAGATGGAAGGCTGGGGGCAGTGTCACCTTCTACCACCACGATTACATCCGACAAAGCCCATCTGTTGGCACCCCGAGCACTGGCAGGGCTCGAGCTGAACTGGGAACCATGAATTACAGCACAGGCAACATCCAAAGGCTTTTTGGTTGTTTATCCTGAACATGCAGCTTTTCCCAACACTAAACAACACGTGGCTTCCACTGATGGCTGACAGCAAACTAATGGCTCAATTAAAGGGTGTTCTACCATTTTGACCACTAGCTGTGAAGTCTCAAATGGAGTCCACTTCATCAGTAAATCACTTTTCTTACAAGGCAGCAAAAAATGCAAGGGGAAACGTATCATGCATCTAAAGACATTGTGATCATGTTGGTTTTGGAAGTGCTAAAATTTATTACACAAGAGATGATGCAACAGCGAATAAGAGAGTAAAATTCTACATCAACTCCCTACTTTGCAATTCAGGACAACTAAGAGGTTTTACTTCATTAAGGAAGGCATGGGAAAAAAATCTGAGAGAACCTCAACGGACAAGGAAGTCTCGTCAAGCCTAAATGTGCGTCCTATGTGACGCTCATTGCTGTAGAAGGAACAACGAAATAATCTGCTTCTGTTCAATAAATTACTAAAACATCAGTTACAAACCTGCTGCATGAAATTGAGAATTAAACTCATTAAACATCCAGGTAGCTTCATCCCGATGCAAATGGAAGACAGGCATGAGTGCTCTGCAGCAAACAACTCTGTGCACACCCCGTCTTTGGGAAACATATTTACATGTGCATCTTATATATTAATATCTTTTAGTGCACCCTAGCCAGAGGGCAACCAGAAAGAGTATTATTCTGTAAGAAGGACAAGAGATGGGCTGGCTTCTCCTCTCCACCAGCAAAGCCTGTATCCACCCATGAGTCTAGCATCCATGTAAAGCAACTCTGTAAGACCACGTTTCCCTTTTCTAGGTAGACAGATATCAGGACCCCAAACCAATGATCTCCCATGATGGCTGGGTAGACTTGGTAGCCGAGATTACTGTGGACCAAAAAAAAGCAGGTGAGATGACCTCACCAGATTAACAAGGCTCAAGGTCAAGAATTTCAGACAAACTACCATTTCTTGGTCTCCTGCCCTCCTTCTCCCTTCCTTACTTCACCAGAGCTCAGGAAGGTCTGCAGCCACATGCGCTGTTTGGGGTGGACCTTGCCCACCATCACACACCGACCAGGCAGGACAGGGGTGCTCGAGCCTCAGGAACAGACCACCTCTACAAAGTTATGGGAACTACCATTCTTCACGTCTTTGTTCAGGGCAAGGATGCCTTAAAAACAAATCCTACAGCCTCCATGGGAGGGAAGCCCGAGTGGGACTTTCTCTCGCCTTACCTGTTCTCAGCCCGTTGCACACATCACTGCATCCATCCTCACTTCTCTAAGAGGAGAGCAAAAGAATGGGCAAAGGCGGGTCTCCAAGGGGACAGTGCCTGGGTCAACGGCCCTGCTGGGAGGGGAAGCTGGATCTGCAGCCTGCCAGGCTCCTGTGGGGCAGGAAGCATCCCGCAAGGCTTCCTCACCATGTGTGAGTCCTGCTGACCCCCAAACAGGCAGGCAGACACCTGAGGTGTTCTCCAAGGGGAGCCCATCTGGGGTGTCCATGGGAGGAACTGGTGCTGCACGGGGCTGGCTTATGAAGCATCACGTGGGAGACGGACAGGGGGCAATGGGAAATCAGTGGTTTTATTCAATAGGATTTTGTTTAATGACATCTGTGATTAAGGGTTGGAAAGATCCATCGGAGATACCAGGGTGAGCTTTGCCTCTCCCAGACTCGAGAAAGGGGCTGCTGGGTGCAGGAGCAAGAAGGGGAAAAGAGAGAGAGGACCTAGCAAAGCATCGCATCTTCCAAACTCAGCTCATCTGAGGCTTGGCAACCTTCCCTGCTCACAGGCACGTAAGTTTTCCAGCTTGCCAGGCAGGTAGATCCATGGGCTCTCAACTCCAATGTGGTGCAAACCTACCTGGCCCTTTGGGAGAGCTTGGAGTCGTCTGGGAAAGCAACAATTCCCTGTCAGTAAAATGCTCACAAGACTGCATGAGCTTATTACAGTCATCCCAGCAGAAATAAGTGGTACCTTTTAGAGTGTTTGCCAGAAGAAAATAGCAGTTCTGACCCAATTTCACACAGTCGGAATCAGCTGTGGGAGACTAATATACAATAAAAATAAAAAGACACAAATGCCCATTTCCCCCATAACATGAATAAAGCTCTGTTTTGATATTCCATTCTTTCCAAAGGAGTCCAGTCAGATCGGTCCAAGTCAGACGTGTTTCGAGTCAAACTCCCCTGACTCTTCCACCCTTTACTTGATGAAATTTTTAATCGTCCACCTTTGTCCCGTGCAGCTGCGAAGGATCAGATCGATGCCAGCCATTCCCCTGTTCTCCACTTCCAAGCATCGTCCTGTTCCCTTGTTCAGGATGGCACCATTCTACAATTAAAGGATATGGGGAAAAAATTAAAAAAAGATTAAAGTCACGGTGTTGCCTGTGAAGCAAGCCAGGACCGCGTGCTGCCCAGGAGCAAAGCTGCATCCTCGTGAATTGCTGGACAGTAATGACATTGGAACAATAAAATAATTCCTAAAATAATCGATGTGAATTGAATGGGCAACCTTTATCACTGGCAACACGGATCGCTAACACATCAGCAACCAAAGGACATCTGTAACCTTTAAATAGAACCCCTGTGTGAGGAAGGTCTGACATTTCTGTACAGAGTACGTTATTTACTGTTTTGGGACAAAAGTAACATGTTTTCATGTATTTCACCATAGATTATCTGTAAGAAACAAAGAAATCTGAAAGTCACCCACAGGGCAGGTTACATGCACCCGAGGGGACCAGGAATCATAGAATCACAGAATGGTTTGGGTTGGCAAGGACCTTAAAGATCAGCAAGTTCCAAAAGGGAAACTTCTACTGGAAATTGTCCTAAAATACCATCCCCGCTCTAATCCCTCTCAACCTTTTCCCTCTGCCCCAGGACCTGGCCCCTGCTGTCACACACAACCATTCCATTGTTGTCCCCCAGTGTCCCACGCCAAAGACAATGTGCCACAGCCTATGGTTTGGGCAGCAGAGGAGCAGCACCAATGGCAGTCCTGTAACAAACCTGGATGAAATTCCAGCGCTTATGGAGGCTGCTCTTGACCTTGTCGCAATCGAGGAGCTGAGGGAAGCGGCTCTTCACGTTGTCCACCAGGCAGCGGGTATCGGGCAGAAGGGTCGTCGTGCCGAGGGCGCCGAGATGAAGGAAGCCCTCCTTGGTGTAGCGTGCAAGCTAGGGGGCAGGGAAGGAGAGGAAAAAGACCATCAGTATCTTTGGAGCATCATGAAAAAGTGATAGAGGAAAGGACAAGTTTGTAGAGCCCCAGGAAAAAACCTGTGAGGATGGTGCACAAAGCAGAACTGACAAAAGGAAAAAAAACCCCAACTTTCTCCAGCCTTTTTTTCTTGTTGCTTTAGGATTTTTTTGTAGATCTGAGCATGCAGGCTCAGGGAAGGGACAGGGATAACTCTGAGCCTTGGGTACATGATGGGGGCTCCTCCAGCCTCCTCTGGCCCTGACCACCCCATGGGTTGGGGCGATGGATGAATTCCCCTGGTTTCCAGCCAGAGCCAGCTGCCTTGGCCAGTCGGGCTGGCTTAGCCTGTGGCTTCTGGCATGCTGGGCGAGACAGCCTTGCTTTGGCCTGCGAACGACGCTGCTGGTGTGCCTGGCACAGCGTGTCTGGCACAGCCCTCCAGCAACGCCAACAGCAGCTGGGCAGCAGCATCAGCCGAAGGGGCAGGTACATAACTGGCTCCGTTCCCCGGGGACGTGAGCCCAAATCTCCCCTATGGTTCAGCGCTGAAGCAAAGGCTTGGCATCGCAGCTAACCCCTGCAATACCCCCCACATCCAACCATGTGCTGCTCCCAAAGACCCATCTCGGCTGCGAGACGCAGGCTGGGCGCATCGGGCAGCGCCGATGGCTCTTGGGGACCGTGGGCAGGCAGCATGCGGATGGCACCGAGACAACCCCGCTGCCACACACAAAGGGCTCCTCCATTCGCAGTGTTTGAGGAACCCCACCAAACTATTTTCCTAAACATATTTAAATTCAGGAGTGAAGAGAGACGAATGACAGCAGCCTGTCTTTTATAGTTCAAGGAAAGACATACACAGCTGCTTATTTAAATTATGAATCAAGCCATTATCTAGCAGACAAATAAGGAGTATTCAGCACGTTAATTAACTGAGCATATCTGTGACCCAGATGCTTAAAAAGAGACGGTAAATCACGCTGGGAGTTTGGGTTATCTTGGTTAGAATAATTAAACACTGAAAATCAAGTTAAAACAATGTAACAGGGTCAGACTCCAGCTAGTAACCACAAATACAGTTACGGTGCTTGAAGCCCATTTTCCCTTCCCTCTGTGATGCTGGTGGCATGTATGGGGGGTGCTGACCCCTCCGGCTGCCCTGTGCTGCCCACCCACCTCAGGACGGGTGCCTGGGGCGCTTGGCTGACAGCTGCTGGCACAGTTACACTTTTAGCCAATGTGCTGTGTACCAAAGCAAGACCTCCCCTACTTGATGTCTCACCAAGGTCCATCTGCCAACAGTATCCACCCCCAGAGGTGGATTCAGCCGCGGTACAGCGCAGGGGGGTGGCGTGCTTGCATCTGGGCAGCCGGCACTGTACAGCTGATGCTGGCGTGGGACAAAGCCCATCCACGCAGTGCAGAATCTGCTCTTATACAATCATAGAATAACAGAATGGTTTGGGTTGGAAGGAACCCTAAAAATCATCCAGTGCCACCCCTGCCATGGGCAGGGACACCTCCCACTAGCCCAGGTTGCCCAAAGCCTCATCCAGCCTGGCCTTGAACCCCTCCAGGGATGGGGCATCCACAGCTTCTCTGGGCACCCTGGGCCACTGCCTCACCCCCCGCACAGGGAAACATTTCTTCCTAATATCTCATCTAAATCTCCCCTCTTTCAGCTTAAAACCATTCCCTCTTGTCCTGTCCCTCCACCCCCTGATCCAGAGCCCCCCCATCTCTCCTGTAGCCCCCTTTCAGCACTGGAAGCTGCTCTAAGGTCTCCCCAGAGCCTTCTCTTCTCCAGGCTGCACACCCCCAACTCTCTCAGCCTGCAGAGCTTAAAGCCATGACCATCACCTCCTCCTCCTCCCACCACCTCTCCCAGGCATGGGGGGATCCGATCCACCACTGAGCTCAGCTCATGCTGTGCCGGGCTCACAAGGGAGCTGCCCTGCACGTGAGGCTGGAGCACCTGGGAGCGGCTCCCTGGGCACCTCCAGCCCAGCTGAAGGCTCAGATTCACATCTAGGACAGACAGAGAAATCATCCAGAGATCCCAAATGGGCGGTGCAAGTTACTCTCCTTCTCCTGTTTCCAACATGTTTCCTACCACGAACATAATTAGTGTGCTAGACACTTTTTTTGTTTAATGAGGTTTGGCAGCTTGTCTTCAGACAGTTGGCCTAATGCCCACGAGGCAACACGATTTCTGCTCTTACGTGTTATCGCCTAATGTGGTGGGAAAAATAAGTAGAGCAAAAATCAAATCTATCCCTAGGAAGGGAGCGGGGCAGGGGCTGCAGAGAGACAAAATGAGCTGAAAAACAAACACGGGTATTATGAAAAATGCATTAAGTGCATTTATTAGATGTGTCATCTACTATGTATAATAGCCAGATAAACAGAGCCCTGAACACGTGTCTGGATCCAGCACACTGCCTAACGCCTGATTTACTCTGCTGAGAGCAGCGGAGGCTCAGCAGCAGCTGTTCTAGTCTTCAAGCCTGTCCAACCATCAAACCCGAGAGTGATTATTCCCAAAAAATCCCATCTAACACGCGAGTGCAAGCTCCACCGTGCTCCTAAGACATTTACGGAATTTTTTTTTTCTTTTGGGATATTTTGCCTTTGATGCCTTAATTCTTCTTTTGCGATTTTGCTCCTCTCCAGAGCAAGCTGGGGGTCTCAACCACGAGCTGACATCAAGGGGTGAAGCACTCGGGGCAAGAGGAGTCCTGCGGTGAAGCACCGATCCTGCTGCGCTGGGTCTTTCCTGAGCAATAAATTGGAAAAAAATACAGAGCAGAGGCTGATGTTCGAGATGGCCTCACAGGCAGCTGTGGGGAGCATAGCTGCAGCCTAGCCAGCACTTTCTATCTGGAGTTTCCCAGTAAGAGAAGAGATGGGAAGCACCTCCAACTCATCATCACAAAGAGCACTGACAACTATTTTCAATATTCTCCTTCTTTGGGTGCCGTGTTTGGGTGTCTCAGTGATGTAATGGTGTAAATCCTGCCCTCTTGCCCAGGAGTGTACTCGATCCACCCATCACCACCTGAACAGTCTGTGCTCTTCCTCTCTCCTCCTCATCCTCATAGCACAGCCAGGTAAGCTCTTCCCACAGGATCTGGGAAGGCGCTTCCACCAAATGTTCTCCTGTTGGACCACAGCGGTTTTCTCCTCTCCAGTGTTTCCTAAGGCTTGTCCCTCCTGTTCTTCATTTTTTCCCTGCTGACCACCCCAAAAACGTTGCCCAGGTCAGCAAGTGTCTGAACAAGGCTGCTCCCTTGGAGATCCCATGGCTGCTCTGCCATCACCAATGATTTCCTCACACGGTCATCATGGCGCTTAAAGATAATAAAAGTTGGTCTTTTTTCAAAGGAAACGATTTCACTGATGAAGAAGGAGGATTTGCCAAAGCGCGGTCCACTCACGTGAAGTTAATGACAGCCCATGGCACATGACCTGTTAAACCCAGTGAAGGATCCAGCCGATCCGGCAGGAGATGGACAAGGATGGAGGTACCAGCCTGAGGAAACACCTGAAGGAATTCCCCAGCCTGGCCGAGGTGGAGAAACAAACCAGAAAGACCAAGAGGAAGGACCAGAGGAAAACAGCTGGAAAATATTAACAAGCTATGCACTTAAAAGTGGATAATATTGATGATTAAACCTGCAAACACCTTTCCAGGTAAAACTGCATCCTGGGTAAAACTACCTCTTGCAAATTCCCCCACCTGCAGATACCACCGTGGGGGTCTGCTTTCCCTCCAGGGGACCCACACCCCCGCTGATGCCCAGAGAGCAGAGGGGCACACGGCCACGCATGTGCCCAGTGCATCGCTTGGGCTGATCTCCCATCAGCAAGCTTGCACCCCCAACACATCTTCTTTGATTATTGTTTCTGGCTGGCTGCATCGCAGGCATGGGAGAAAGTTAATTGGACATCTTAGCACCTGGGAAATAAACACCTTGATGACCTTCATTGACTCTATTGGAAAATAATTTAGGGTTGTTTAGCTTCCCTTCTGCACTGAGCAGATCATCAATTAGCAACCATAAGTAAAGTGTAGAGTATTTTCTTTTTAACAGAATTTAATCTGATGTGCTATTTTGTCACCCTTGATACCGCAGTGTCCCGGATGATCACAGTGTTGATGGCTTTGTCCCCAAGTTCTGATGCTTAAATGGGCAAAACATATTTTATCCTATAATTAAATGAAATGCTCTGCTGGGTGAACATTATCTTAAGTTTTATAGTATCATAGTGCTTTCTATCACGTTAATATATCACCATAGTTCTGTCACTCCAGTGAGTTATTACTATATTATTAGTGTAATACATCATTAGAGCAAGGTGTTTTCGTGATGTATTGCTTAAAAGATGAAGCCATCAGGAAGAAAAAAAATCCACAAGCAGGCTCAATATAATTACAGGATATAATGATACTTCATCATGAAATCTGATAACGATTTCACCTGGAAGTGAGTGAAAGCAGGGAGAATGGAAAGCTAAAGGGAAAACAAGAGAAAAACCACAAAAATTTCCCCCAAGGACAGATGCTACCACAGAGGTGCTGGGAGCAAAAGCCAAAATCTCCGCATTTGGTGCTAGGTATGGGATCCATCGCACCTAACCGCATCCATCTGAACGCTACATGCTTAACTTACAGGCCATCAGCAGAGACAGCAGAAACTCAGAATATAACACAAGCTGCCCTGCCTTGGAGGGGCAAGGCTGGGCCACAGTGTCAAAGAGAGAAGCGGAGATTTTAGGAAATGACATGAAGATGGAGCACAGGCACCACTGTGTGTGCTTTTGGATTCTGAACAACTCAAAAGGAACTGCAACCCCTTGTGTTTTACATATATATATATTTATATATAAAACAGGTAAGCTATTTGAACAAAGTGTTTATATTAATTCTAATTATATTCCCAGCAATAAATTACAACACGCAGCCCATTAATTAAACTGGAGTAGCGAAAGTCCAATTTTCTTTTGTGCAGCATCCGTGCTTCTGCAAAAGGCTAATTTCAAAGCTTCTGCATTCGCTGATAGCTACTTTTAAAAGGCATTTTCAAGGAGTTAAACTAATTGCATGTATCACGAAACAAAAGAACTGCCAAGAACTGGCTCTCAGCTGGAGAGGGAAGGGACAATGTGGAGGTGGAAGACCAGGAGGAAAAATCTGTGCTGAGCACAGATGACAGGCAAGCTGAAGGGAGCCAGCAGCACTGCAGCGTTTGACTTCAGAACATCAGGTAGGAAAATAAAATATCATTAAGTTTAATCACAAAAATAGGTGAGAAAAAAAACATAACCTGCTTTTAGCCATTAATCTTCAAGCCCAGGGTTAGCAGACAATGTCAGGCTAATTCAGTTTCTCATACTATAATGCATTTGGAGGTTTAAGTTTCCATCCAGAAAGTCCAAAAGGCAGTTTGTGCCATTTATGAAAAAAACTGTGTGCATTTAAGCAGCAGTTAGGTTATATTTAGCAGTGACTCAATCAGCCACAGTTGACTGATCTTTGTTTAAAGAAAAGGATAAACCAAAGTGAGATCTGTCTGTACCCCAAGGAACTCCCGCAGCTGGTTCCTGGGCTCAGGTGGCTCCTGAAGTTTCAGTTCAGGCTCAGATGAGCTTTAGGATTCCTCACTCCTGGTGAGCCTGGAAAGCCAAGGGCGACCATATGGTGAGAACGGGCTCCTTACGCATTCCCATCATGTGAACTATACATTTTTTTAGCTGAAAATGAACCTCCTTGAGCATGCTGGACCCCAGGCACTCACTAAGGACACTCAGTGTGTCCTGCAGCTTTGCGTCCCCACTGGGCTCCATCTCAATCTTCAACTCATCCTCATGCCAAAGAGGCTCATTTTGCAGGTGGAGAATTAAAAAATGTGTTTAAGTCATCTTTGAGGCCTGTGATAGAACAGAGAACTGACATCCTGCCTTGCTAAGCCCTGATTAATGCTCTAGGTTTTCATCCAGATTTGATGAGCTAATCCTCAAGCCATGATAAAAAAGTCAGATCTTGTCTCAGGAAAACTACCAGGAATGGGACCAAATGTTCCCAGACCCTAGGGAACGGCTACAAGATTTTGCTGTCAATTCTAATATGTTTTTTCCATCTGAAAAGCAGGAATTTGGGCACCTCTCTCCCTCGTAAAGCTTTTAGCTTGCTCCAGAACTTTTGGAGAGACAAAAGGAGGGCTAGAAAACTAGCACTACGGTAAATCCCAGCCAAGCTGATATGGCTCTTTCCATCCTGTTAAGAGGCACTGTTCATTTTCCTTACCCAGTTGGTATGTTTTCACCCTGCTGGGTGGAAGAGAAAGGAAATGTCTTAAAATGCTCTGCTTGTGTACGCTCTGCTCTGCTCGTTGGCTATTTGCTTTCAGCATTATTTACCTTCGTCCAGAAGATTTTTTCAAATTATGCTCTTCCTTGCAGCTCTGGCATGATGACGGCAATCCAGAAAATAGCTACTTTAAGAGTAGCTGGGAAAATGCACCTTTCTATTTTTACCAAGAAGCTGGGCCTTATCCATTTGACAGTGAAGCCAACAGAGAAGCTGCCCATCCATCCTCTCTCCTCTGCTGGGTACCACTGGCTCCTGGCACGCATGGTCCCAGCAGATGCACTAACTCCTCACCTGCGGTCCCCAGCCGTGGCACGGGTACAATATTGCTGTGTGGTTCTCCTGCGGGCCCTGGTCAAGGCAGACGTCTTTCGCCTTGTTGTTTCGAAGCTGTAAGAAAGAAAAAAGTGCAGAGTTAGCCAGCCCTGTCTCTTCAGAGACAAGCGATAAATGGATGTGCAGCAATGCCTCCAGCTTCTTGCGCTACGGAGAGAATATACGGCACTGTATCACCAGGTGTAATCAGGCAGGCAAAGTTTTAGTGTGCCATATGTTTTCTTTAAATACAAAGCCTAATAATGTCTGCTTTTATATAATAATCACCATTCAAAGGAGCCAACTTCCTTGAAAACAGTATTCTTTGTATTTGGTCATGTGTGGCGGTAACAAACGTATTTTTAGACTGCCGCCAGCGTGTTGCCAGGAGCCTGAAATCAGTGCAGAATCGCTCGTATTTCATCGAAAGCTCAAAATGCTCAACAAGGCAGGGAAAAAAAGTCCAGCTAGCACAAGGAGCCCCTTCCAGTCATCGCAGGGATGCAGGAGGACACACAGAGATGGCATATCAGCCATCAAGTATTTAAGGACACGCTTCGGAGGGAGCTGAACCCCAGCCACCGTGTATGTTAACACAGGGACGTCCACATAAGGCAACTGCAAAACGCCTTTGAAAATACTGCTTTGGGGGAGGTTTGAGCTTGAAGGCATTAAGTAACTTTGATAATAAATCTTTCTTAAAATTAATGCCCATCTGGGGTGCTCGGGCGGTGCTTCCAGAAGGCTTCTCAAACTGCCTCTGTTCCATAAGACCCATTGCAACGGAGTATTATTAGGTCCCGTAAATGCCGGGTTTTATATTTCCTGTATAGTCTCAAAGCCAGCAGAGATTGAATTAATTCTCCTTACTTTATCTCGTCCTTAAGCTGTTGTGACAATGCACTGTATCCTACAGAGACCTTGTCAGGAATTAGGCTGAGTTTAAGGCAAAGGGTTTTAAAAAATGACTATGTATTAAAAATATACATATAGCTGCTTAATCCATAGAGTCAACGGGTAATACAGATAATTTTCTGTCGATTCAGTAAATGTGGTATTAAAATATTTTACTGTATATTGGCATCCAAGATCAGAAATAATTCCCAAAATCGTTTTTTAGAAGAAATGGTAAACAGATTTATACAAATTTATATAATGATACACAACTAGTAGGTTTTGATGTGCATTCCTCTCCCTTGAGGCTATTTCTCATTAGAGACTCACCAGCTGTAAATATTACTGGTCTGATCTAAGGAACTGCTCAGCCTTCATTACCTCGCCATAAGCAATGGTGTTGTTGTATCTTCTCATTTCTGGATAAACGTGGTCCAAGTACCACTGGAAATTTTTACACTTCAAGCTTTTCCTTAATGCTTTTCTCTCAGAAACGTCCCCGATGTCAATACCTGGATTCTGGAAAATAAAGACAAGAGACGTCACTGAACTGACACTCTTCAAAAAGATAAAAAATGAGCGTATTTCACTCGTGTTTTGATATCAGTTCCAAAGGTGCCTGGAACTGCCAACAGCTGAGTAACTCCACGCAGAGGCCATGCCAGGGAATTTTGGCATGTGTGTCCAAGCTGAAATCATCCTCACGGCAGTCAGCAGGACGGCTTGGGGTTCAGAGCCACAGCAAGGAGGAGACATGTACTTCTCTCATAGGATTTGAGGACATCCTTGCAATGGCCATCAGACTGATGCTGGACATGTTTTGGTCCTGGGAGGTCATTTAGAAAAGAGAACGTAAATGGAGAAGAAAAGGTTTTGAAGGAAATACAAGAAGTGCAGTGTAGGGGAGGTGAATCTTCCCACCGACTGTCCTGGGCTTTGGATCTACCTGAGAAAGACCGAATCTGTCAGCGGGCGCAGCGACAAAGTATTTTTAAAAGATCTCGCTACCCTTCTAGGTATTGACACAGTGGACATCCAGAAGAGCTTAACAGCAAATGCACATCAGGATTTAAAAGATGGTCATGAATCCTGGAAATGCAAATCCCTGACTGTGCATCAAGCACCGAACCCCTTCCCCTTTCACACCAAGGGCGTGTGACCCTTCTAAGAGGCAATGCACAAGACAGCACAGTCAAAAAACGTAAAATAAAGGGGGAAAAGAATCACAAGATGGTTTGGGTTGGAAGGGACCTTCAAGCCCATCCAGTCCCACCCCCTGCCATGGGCAGGGACACCTCCCACCAGCCCAGGTTGCCCAAAGCCTCATCCAGCCTGGCCTTGAACCCCTCCAGGGATGGGGCATCCACAGCTTCTCTGGGAAACCTGGGCCACTGCCTCACCCCCTGCACAGGAAAAAACTTCCTCCTAATATTCAACAAAAGAAGAGGAGAAAAAAGAAAAGAAGAAAAAAGAAAGGTTTAAGATTCATATACAATAGGGATAGATAGCTAAGAATAAAGGATAAAAATTACAGTAGAAGAGAAGTTGAGGCTGAACCTCAGAAAAACCTCTTGACAATGTGGACAATTACTCAGTGAAATAGTCTCCCTGGAGACACAGGGGAACCCCACTGCTCGAGGCAATTTAAAAGCAGACAAAGCTAAGACATCTGTACCCGGAGGAAAAATCCTACAGGAGCCAGGAGCAGGGGCTGAAGAGAGCTGCCCCCCTTTCACCTTTTATTCCATTCCAGAATTTGGAGAACTAATGCAGCAGGTCGGTGAAGGAAACCAAAGAGCCAGCCTTTTTCTCCTTCCTACAGGTGTCTGGGCTTCTGCTCTATTTTAGCTCCTGCTCTTGTCTTTCACAGTGATCATTAAATACAGCTGGGAAGGCAATTTTTCATTACAACGCTTGTAATGATCTTCTAATGAATTATTCACTCTGCTTTAGAGAAGACACCATTTTAATGTGTGACTGGTAGCTCACAGGTAAAAAAAATGATGCAGTGCAGACAGGTAAGACAGGCTGAAATCTGAGTGGGTGAGATGGGACGCAGAGCAAAGTGGGACTGCAAACCAGTCAGCATCAGAAATATTCAGTGCATGGGGTTTGACTTGGTTGTGAATATAGCAGCATCACAAAATAATTCCATACCTATACTAATATCCATGACCCCCTGCACAATGCCAGGCTTCTTGAAAATTAAATCTCAATTTTGCTTGTACGACCTATATAGAAATCCCAAATCGTTTTTAGGGTAACCCAGATCTGTTCCCCCAGACCCACCCCGGTGCCCATCTGTGCACCTTTTCTGAGTCATGTAGGACCTTCAGCTTCACCTTGAATTTTAATCCCTTTTTGCCATGCTCCAAAGCTGCTCCCGAGCAGGAGCACGGTGCCTCACATCTACAAAGGAACCAGCCCAGGGATCGGGACTGAACCCGCGGTAATTTATGATCCTTGCCCATGGGTGTCTGGATCTTGCAGCCAATTTTTAAGAGAGACCTGAAATCGCTCAAGACCTGCAGGCAACTCAGCCTGTGGCCCCCTGCAGCTCGCTGGGTAAACACCATTTCTTTCCATCTCTATTCATCTCTCTCTCAATAGCAAACTAATCCAGGGCTCCCCACCACTCCCAGGACACCAAACCAGCTGCGCAGGCAGCTCATCGACCCTTCCAGGTACCTGTTGTTCTCTAATGTAGTGTGAAGTTGTGCCTACCGCGGCTCTGAATGCCAATATCTCTCCCCAGCTGTAACCTCTCCTCAGAAAGCAGCAGAACGTCGGGTTTTAATGTTTTCCAAAACGCTGCGGAGCACAGCGCTGCCAGCTGGGGATGCTGCTGCAGCAGCAGGATCAGGACCGCAGCAGCTCTTTGCAGGGGTGTGATTGGCGAGGTGTAAGTATTTCAGGTTTATTTTTAGCACCAAAAGGCTGGTGATAAGTAACCGCTCACGTGGGGTCTGGCCACTCTCGACAACGGGTTTTCCTCCCACTTCACTGCAGCCCCGTGCTCGTGCCAACATACGCTGCAAGTGGAGTGAGCACAAGGGGCTCGGCAGGGCACCCTGGATCCACATCCCACCTGTCACCTGGAGAGCATCACAGCCCCCACCACCCCTTCTTCTGGCAGAACTGGAGGCAGGGGTCAGGGGACTGGCCCAGCCAGGTGCTCCCAGCACGCTCCAGGCAGTGCTCAGAGCTGGGAAGCAGGAGATGCTCTTGGGTTTCATGATTAGACATAACCTGCACAGAGAGCAGAGCTCAAGCAGCAGCCTTGGACCTGCATGAAGTCCTCCTGGACCCTGCAGAGGTTTATGCAGAAGTGCAGGGAACCACCCAGAGAGGTTCACGTCCAGGAGTTGTCCTGGGCATGGTCAGCCTCTCTTGCTGGTGGGACCCCAAGACGCACCGTGCTGCCACATGGCAGGGTTTACATGAAAAATAATGTGTCAGATCTAAGAAAATCTAACCATTTTTGAACAGAAATAAATATAACCACCAAAACTGTTTAAAGAGAGTGGTTTTGGTGTATTTGCACGCGGTGCTGCTGGAAGGGGATCTCCTCCGGTGAGCCACCACCCTCCAGTACTTTACCTCTGAACGTGGTTTTCTAAGCGCTGGTGGCCTCAACTTCCCCAACGCTGCAAAAGCAACGGGACCAGGCAACTGGACCACACACACACAGTGAGATCTGGGCACCGACAGCACCTGTGAGCTCGGAAACCCAAGCTGGGCTGCACGTAATATGGACCTGCCCCAGCCGCAGGAAGGAACCTCAGGCGCTAATGACATTAATAATCTTCTGCCAAGCTTTACAGACACACTCCATCTGCGGAGCAGTGTAATGACATAAACTCACGCTGTGTAAACACTCAACGGGGAGATAAACACTACAATACAGGTTTAATTTTTAGAAATGAAAATAAAAAGGTTGACATGAACCGTAGGAATTCCTCCAAAGTCTGCAGCGTCTCTGTCAAAGCCAAGGGAGCTCTGCTGACTTCCCCAGCTGGGAATGGGACCCAGGGTATTTCAGGCTCTCCATCACCCAGCGGCACTAAATGCTCTAGAATTCAAGTTTTTAACCCAATAAAGTGAAGACCTAGGATAGGGTGCAACAGCCATACCTCCAGGGGCAGGTTCCATGCGATGTAGACGTGCGATTTGTAGTCGTCCATCCACACCTCGGCCACCCGCAGGGCGTTGCGCTTGGTGTAGAACCCGATGTTGTTGTTGTAGGGCTTCTTCTTGCGCTCGATGTGAGCCACCCGGGAGCAGGGCAGGACCTCCATGCTGCCGCCGCACAGCCACACCTGCAATGCACCCGCACAACACCGTCAGCATGGGATGCAAAGGGTCCACGTACAAATTCCCCAAATCTCCCCATCCCTGGAGGGGTTCAAGGCCAGGCTGGATGAGGCTTTGAGCAACCTGGGCTGGTGGGAGGTGTCCCTGCCCATGGCAGGGGGTGGCACTGGATGGGCTTTAAGGTCCCTTCCAAGCCAAACCATTCTGTGATTCTAGGAAACTGAGGAGGAAGAAGTAGTGGGGTTTGAGTTTCCTACAATATCCGGGCGAGTGCAGGGCATCACATCATCCAGCTGGCAAGTGGAAAGCCTTGGCCAGGTCTGGCCTTTGCTCAATGGGGAGACACACAGGGAGAAATATAACCTGTGCCCAGAGGAAAACACGGGTCGGCTTTAGAGGGAACAGGTCTATATCCAGCACATGGTATTAACGCGTTGTAGGATTGGGTGCTGAGTTTACAGTGATGTTGCTACTAAATAAAAACAATTAGTGACTGGAGTAGTTGAAACAATTGCAAGATCTCCTCCTGCAGAAGGGATAACTCAGTGAAACATATGGCAGGGACAGATTTTTCCCACTTGAAAACATTTGTTCATTATTTTTCTTTCACATGCAGTTTAAAATTCCCTTAAATCACAGTTTACAAATTAATAAAATCTTTTGAGATCTTACTTTTATCACACGGAAAGGGAATGTACAGAAAGGCTCACCGCACCTGAGTTCTTCCCTCCCTGTTCGTTTTCACCAAGAAGTTATTGATCTTAAATGTATGCAGGACACCGGGCAATTGGTACAAACACATATGCCAAACAGGCCTAATAATCCCCATTCCGCCTCTTTTGCAGCCTGCTCCGCATTACCATTTTGCACAGTTGTGACAACACCCATTGTTTCTGGGATCTCTTCCAGGCTCACCACCTTTTATCCCATCTGCGTTCCCTAAATTTGCCCGACCCTGCTCCATCCGCTCTCCTGGCACCGCCTCCTGGCTGGATCCACTGCCCTTTGCCATCCCTAAGCACGTCCACCACCCAAGCCCAGGAGCATGAGTACAGCCAGGAGAGGTCTTCCCTTGGGAAAGGGGAAAAAAAATAAAAAAATCTGTCTTTTTAAAGGACTATTCCCAAGGCAATAGTTTGTCAGAAACCGCCTGTTTTTCTTGCCTGCTCAGTTCTCTAGTTTCTCAGTGTCTCGGTGAAATAGGAGCACCGAGCTCTGCCTTTGGGTGCTCCCAAAGCTGCTGGGTTCAACCACAATGCTGAATAAAACTGCCAGTCCTGGAAAATCCCCAGCACCACCTGCTTTGGTAGTTTTGGGGATTTGTTAGGTTTTGTCCTGATATAAAATCAGAATAATTATTTTAAAAATGTAAAAATCCCGATGTAATTAAAATGTCATTTTCCAGCAAGCTTGCCTCTAGCAGTAAAGGCAGAATCACAGCATCATAGAATCATTTAGGTTGGAAAAGACCTTTAACATCATCAAGTCCGACTATAATATTGTAATACTGTCTTTCTTGCAATATTGTCTTTCAGTGCTTTAGTTAGGTAATTCACATGGTTTTATGCTAGACAGCTTTCCTAGATTTCTGGAATATCTATACAAACTATCTTGAAATGCAGATATTGTAATAACCTGAGAGAGAAAGTGTTGGGCACTGTGCAAAGGGCAGTGGTTAGACACGTATCCACGAGTCAGTTCCAGAGAGATCAATAAAATTTTAATTCAAAAAAGGCACTTGTGCAAGGAAAGACCATACTTCTAAATAAAGCCTATATTGCCATTATATATTTTAAAAAATCTGTTTTTCCAAGGCACTTATGAACATTTCTGCTGGTAACAACTGGAACAAGGAGAAGTATTACATGGGAAACGGCCAAGTCGCACCCAGCATTGCTGTCCTCAGCGTACTGAGGGGTAAGCCGTGACCCCAGGAAGATGTTGTCACTCCCACATGACCTGACAAGGACCTTCTGCCCCTGCTGACATCCCAAACCACCCATGAACCGATCCACAGGAGACAGCACAGCGACTGCAATCCAGGGGCCATCCTCCAAGGCCACGAAGCACTGAGGTATCTTTGCCCAACAAGCTCAGCGTGATGCTTCACCCCTGCAACAACCACACCTGTGGGGCGGTGAACAGCCCTGAGAAAGGTCCCAGACTTTGTTCTCTCGGCTCCAACAAGAGACACCACCACCAAAAGGTCTCATCAGACTCTCCATCCTCCCAGCAAGGCTGGAAGCCACCACCTTGCTGATGCCCAGATGCATCTCGGCCACTTGTGTCTGTGTGCCCCGGGGAGGCACCAACACTAACACCCCAACCCACGGCAACTCCAACCCATGGCACTCAGACCCTGAGGGCAGAAGGTTCTTCAGGAACCTTCATTTATGTCCCTGTCGAGCAGCCATTTGTCCCACCAAAGACCTTTAACAAACAGTTTACCTTCCTATTCAGTAGATTTTTCATGTTCGTAGCAAATAAACCTACAGTCCCTTCAGATACGCTATTTACTAACACCATTAACAGCACAATCAGTCCAGCACGTTGTTTCTGATATTTCCTTGAAGAATTATCTCTTAGTAGCTGGGTAATCAAGAGCCAGCACAACATTAAGACCAATCAGAAAAATAAGGTATTGTCAAATTAATTCATGTTTAGCCTATTTAACAAGGCAGAGTCTTTTATATTGCCTCCTACAATTGATAAAATCACCATCACTTCATTTCATAAAATATGCCTGGATGGCATGTAAAGGCGTGTTTAAAGACTCAAGATAGCGTACGTAACACAGCTCTTTAAATATGACGAGCAAGTCTCAAGTTTCTCCCTTTTTTTCTGACATTCAAATTTCAACACGACTATTAGCTTGTCATTCATCCATCCGTAAAGAGACGAAGAATTAAAAATAGAAACATTCCCCTCCAGTAAATGACGGTGACTCAATAACTTCTCCATCAGTCTACACACAGGAGTAATCAAACGTACAGAAAGATGCTTGGATTTATAAATAACCAGTTAACACTGAATTCTAGTGAAGAAATCCCAGAGAAACAAACAGAAAACAAATCCGTCACCCAGAGAACTTTGATGTGGGTGGGTAAGACACCTACGATTATTTTCCAAGCAAAGTGGGACTGTCTTAAGAATTCAGCATGGAAAAGCAGTGATTCCTCCCAAGCAGTGACATGTCCGAGCACAGCTGGAGTGGCATCGGCTGTTTACTTTCCAGAAGGGTTTGCACACATGGGAGGCGAATGTTGGTCAGCACAAGCCTGCATCACCTCGCTCCACGGATGGGATGACCCAGCTTTGCAATCTAATCACCCTCCAGAAGGTGCCACGGGTGTGTGAAAGCTTTTGTGAAACAGTCGGCATCTCAGTGACCTGCCCTGGGGATAACCCAAAAGAGGGATAACCCAAAGCAGAGATAACCCAAAGCAGAGATAACCCAAAGCAGGGAGCAGATATCAGCGTGATGCAATACATCAGAGCAGAGCCTCAAGGCAGGTTCAGGTGCGGGCACGCGAGTACTCGGCAATACTCAATCGCAATGTATTACTTCATCTCCCAACCAAGAGCATCACCATCAGTGTCTCGCCTGCCATCCGCCTTCAGGCCTGCATTTGCAAAATCAGAGAGTTGTTTTTCCATTGCTCTGGTGGAGTACTCTATACGTCATTACTAATGGCAGCTAGGACACGAGTAAACGTAGCACTTGGGAGCATCTTGGGAAAAAACGGTGACCAGGCCTGTTGGACGGGCCTGAGAGCAAGCTGATGGAGGAGACACGCTGGCATTGCCTGGGGAAGTGCACATTCTCTGCAGTAAAACCGCCCTCCTGGTAATGGAACGGAAGAGTGCTCACAAAACACAGCGTTCCGATGGTCCGGTGTGCGTGTACCAGAAACAGCAAGAAAATCCCGATTTCACTTGACCAGCCCATTGCAGCAGCCACAGAAACAATTTTCCAAGTGTTACGCAGTTAAGAACAATTACTGTCCGTGATCCCCTTTGCCCTCAAAAATATACAGCAGCTATCCATTTGCTTTGCTCCTGTCTGCCAGAGCCAGCAAGTACTCCCAAGGAGCATTATTTAACCAAAAATGGTTTTTGGCAATCTGCCTAGCATCGAAGGAGCCAGCCAGGCAGAACAGGGTGACCCAGAGGAGATCCACCACCCAGGAGGGTGCCGAAAGCCCATCCTATGCCACACTGGGCTTGGGACATCGTCCATGCTCCCCAGTTGAGCAGGACTAGAAATACGGGTTGGAGGGGTTGGCCAAGCTCATGCATTGAGGCTGGCAGTGCTGATGCTGTTAGTGCTTTATGGGTCTGGTGTGCTTGAAGGGAGCAACCCCAACCATGTGTTGACAGCATCGCAGTCCACCTAGCACCCACCGAGTGGCAACGGACACACGCAGGGGAAAGCATGGCTGCAGCTCTAGCAAAAGAATGGGCAAAAAAAGTAACTTTGAAAATAGAAGGTTAATGCATATATATTAAGAAAACCTTGTTCCCCTCCCCAGCCTTCTGCCACCAGTCCTGGCTATGCCATGGTGCTCACCGGCAGGGAAACAGAAGATAAAATTATGAACTTAAGGAGAATATTTTCATCAGAAAATACTGATGCAGGGGATGCTTCCCCTAGGACATCAGAATAACTCGCACAGCCCGCTTCTCTTCATGCGGCTGCAAGCTGTACAAGCCTCACCATCTGCTTTTTGCACAAAGAAAGCTGATGTTAGAAAAA